CTGAACCTAAGATCTCCTGTATTACTTCCACATTCACCATCAGGTAAATTGCATTGAAGTAATCCAATTCGAGGGTGATGAAAGCATGTCTCTGTATGAACACATTTTTCTTGGAGAAAAGGGTGAAATTTCTAAGTATCTTGTAGGTAACTGAAGGTATTTTTTCATCAGTCACTCTATATGATTGCTTCGGTTTACTGATGGATCAAATTGGAGTCTGCAGTTTTGTACCACTTTGTCAACTGGGAAAGGGCGAGGGTGAAGGTAGAGGCTGGATATCCTTGATTGAATTTGGAAGAGGACAGTGTTCTAGCTAATTTCTCAGAACCTTTCAACCTTCTGAGTAGCATCACTTAATAGTGCCCAGGTTCAGTTTAACCCAAATATTCTCCATGTGGGAGATCTTCTTTTGTAAGCGTTGTGACATCTTTGTGATATTTTGATTCTGAAGAGACTGAGATATGCAGTTTAATTGCAATTTATTACCTCCATTATGTTGCCATCAACAGAGACCATAGGGTATTACTGCCTTTTCAAGTAATCCCATGTAAGTACTGAAGAAGGGATTAGACAAATGATGCATTTGTGGGAAACGGAAGTTTCTTCGTAGTTTCTTCACTATTTTCTTTACCTTGTTTGGAGGTAAATGATGCTGTTGTAAGATTGTCTATTCAGCTTTATTGTGCAAGTATGTGAGCAGTGCCCTGGGCACAACCTTTTCAAAAGCTGCAGAGATGTTAAGTGGCATAAGAACAATGACATATCCATTATTCATTGTCCATAAGGAAATTGTTCTTTTATGCTATCATGGCTGTTCCTCTGTTGTTCTCTGGACTGGAGCCTGATTACAAAATGTCCAGAGCACTGGCAGATGGCACAGTTTGTTGGAACCTGGTTGGGACTTTTACGAGCTTTGGTGTAGCGGTATCCACAGTCTCAAGTTGCACATGTGGGTTTCCAGTTAATGTATGCGAGGCATCTGAGAATGTTATTTATAACAGTCAGCAAGAAAGGAAAGGTGCAACCTAAGATGGACAAT